TAAATAATTAAAATAATTTTCAAAATTTTTCAAAAATTCATTTCTTTATGAAAAATTTTTTTTCGGGGCCACTCTTTTCAAGAATTTGAGGTCCCGGGCCCGCAAAAAATTTTGAAGCACCTCAAAACATTTTTCGGAGTGCGTAGCTAACTCCACGCACCTCCATCGAAAAAAATTCTCGTTGCGCCCCCTCCCCGAAAAAAATTTCTGGGTACGCCATTGCTAGCTCGTATATGATACAATCTCCCGCAACGGCATAAAAATGGGAGGAGCTTTGTCCTCGACCAAGTGCTCGTGCTAATTTGAAAAGTTGTTCGAAAAGTCTCCGATTCTATGCATGATTTTTTATGGTATTTACATAGATAATGGAAGCTTGTTTGGTATGAATAAGATAAGAGTTTCGTTCCATGCGCAGCTAAGAGATAGGCCAAGTAAATCCAATGTATGCATGACATTCTTGCATGAGAATTGCACAGCATTTGTAGCGCATGAGCACATACATATATATGCACCCATAAAAAGCAAAGGAGTCATTAGCAAATAAGTTACACCATTTCTACAGACACTGTAAACAGCTTGAATTTATATTCCGACTTTGAAGAAAGAATGCTTGTTCTATAAATCAACATTGGTATGAGCTACATTTCACCTATAATTTCGTATCAAACCTCTATCAATCTTTCCCACGCAACAGCCCCTATCGCCTACCTTTTCTATCCCAACGGTGCAGATAGCTTTATATTCTATCTTTTTGGATTTCACACGAGTTTATGACTTTAGACAAAACATTTGCCTTTTTTGAATACGAATGTGCCGTGTGCGGCTGCATGAGACGAAGGGTGAAACGTTGGAGATCGGTTCCACCCCGACATCAGAACAAAGTTGCCGACGCTGCCGTTTTGTACAAAGCGCTCCTGAAGGTTAAACTCGACCAAGATCCACCTAGTAAGCAAAACCATCATTGTTTTTGAGCCTTCGAAAACCATAATCTAGAATTCATATAAACCTATCATTACTTTTGCCAAAGGCTGAAACAAATAAGTGGAATACATCTTGACTGTAAAAAGACGAATCAAGATTGCACAACGAAGTAAAAAGCACATCACTAAACAGTTGCAATGGAATAGCTTTTTCTTTTGGGAATCCTCTTTCATTTTCTATTTCTTTCTACAGACCTAAGAGTTGGAAAATTTGCATGCTCGCTCTTCTCTTTCGAAGATAGAATTTGGTGTATTAGATGTCTTTTTTGTTCTTCAATCTTTCTTTGAGGGCAGCATTTCTTCTAAAAGCATAAGACAACGATCTTCAAAATCTCAAGCATCTCGTTGGAACGGGGTAATAGTGATAAAAACTGACCAGGAACTCCTTGGAAGTCTTGAAACAGACACAATTATCTATTGTTACACCGTAAAAAATTACCATATCAGAGACTAGAAAATTCCTCTAACGAAAAGCTGTGTCCAGTGTCCCAACTAATCAACTGTAATCAAACGAGATTTCTCCATAAAAGCTAGTTGCAAAATCATAGAAAGTAAATAAATGCCATAAATGATGTTTTTACACAACTTCATTCAGTTCAGTTTTTGTTCTATGTTTATTTCAATTGTTGGTATTGAATTTGTGCAGCTGTTAATATTCAGTACGTATTCTAGGAATAGAAGATTTTGACCCATTCCCGCCCACCTGCTCATCATCAGAGGATCATGATCGTATCTCGCCACCTAACGAGGCACCATTCAGAGTGCAAGGTCAGTTTTTCCGAGGGTAGCTCAGCTCAAACTCAAAAATTCCTAAGTTTTTCAAGCATAAAATTCTTTCGTTCCAGAACCACCAAGCGATGAATTTGTGCGATTCCGTGGTAATAGCCTAGGCAGTTCCACCAGAGACTACTCGCCTCATCGTGAAACCCAACTCAACCACATATCCTACAACGGTAACCTGCCTCATCTGCCTGCCTTGAAAGACGAACAGAAACTTACCTAACCACTTTTCAGGTCCGGAGAAAACACCCGATATCCACATTTTGTCAGCACTGCCACCAAGAGCTCCTATTCGAAATAGCGTAGCCACTGCCTCACTCCGTTCACGACCGCCTCCACCGCCATACACTGCCACTGGTCGGCAAAAGCCGCCACCATATCCTGGACGAAATGGTGCAAATAGTGTAAGTAGAATTTTCAATTCACAACTAGCTCCAGATGTATGAAATTAGCAATTTCTGAAATTGTAACATCGTTTTATAGTGTGCTTGTGGTGCCAAAATTGGGCGACCAAATTTGGGGTGAACAAGCCACGCCAATGCCGGCATT